TGCTCACTGACGGTATACATCTCTTGCTAGTACACACAGATGTGTGTGTGTGCAGTAATTTAATATACATAAACTAGAGCCATGGGGTATTGTGTGTGTATTTGGGTGTTTGGCTCTCACTCTTATTTGGGTATTGTGGGGTGTTCTCTTTTTTTTTTCTATTAAGGGGTACATATTATCATACAAGTAGAATATTCCTTTTTGTTGGTTTACTGTACTGTTGTTCTCCTCTCTCTCTATTCCACTGTGAGTATTTGTGTCCTGCATCCACTCACTATTTATGCCTCTTTCTCTTCTTCTTCTTTCTTGTATTGGTCTATGAAAGTAATCCACAACAATGACAAAGACTGTATTGATGAGGTGCTACCTGCTTTGTTTACNGGGGAGTTCGAGGAGGAGGAGGAGAAAAAGGGTCAGGAGGCTCCTGGTAATTCAGATTCTTTGGGTGGACATATATCCATTGCTTCTGGCGGATCAGGACGTGGGTCTGGTTCTAAGCAGCTGGGGGCACAATCGGAAGAACAAATGCAAGGGAAACTTCCAGTAGTTGAAGATGGGGGAGTAGATGAGGCACGAAGGACAGAGATGGCGGACCAAAATATAAGAACAGAACTCAGGGACCCAGCTGAAAACTCAAATGGTAAAGGAAAAGGAGATACCACTACTGCAACCGCATCTGTTTCTGCACAACAGTCATTAACAGATCCTCTTGGAGCAGATGGACCCAATGAACAGAAGCCAAGCCTGTCTGATCCTTCATCAAATAAAGGCGAGCATGGAACTCAAGAAGACACGCAAACGCCAGGAGAAAAAGAGGAGGGCAAAGACACACAAGATGCACAAAGCCGAGAGAACACAGTCACAACAGGACCGGGTACTAATGATGGAGACAGCAGTAATAATGCACAGTCTGAAGGAGGTAATGACAGGCAATCTGGTACTGAGAATGGCACTACAACTGAAGGAAGTGAATCAACAAACAACCAAGAAGGTGCTGCAGATAATACAGAAACCACCACCACCACCACAACAACAACAATAACAACACTTCCTCCTCAACTCACAAACAACAAGAAGGGTGATGCAGACAGCAGCAGCAGTATCAGCAGTTCTGTGTGGGTGCGTGTACCACTAC